CTTTTTGCACCTTATCTAAAAAAAAAAAGAGTTAAAGTTTACCAGTGACTAAAAGCCCTGTGTTTAACTTTTTTATGGTGAGGTTTATTTATGATGTCTGTAATTTGATGTTTGTATTTTTAAAAATGAACAGAAAATCATTACATTTTGTAAACAAGTCAACTAAGGACAAATATAAGACAAAAATTATGTGCTGTTAATCAAGAATGAGAAAGTAGAAAAATATGGAAAGTTAAAAAAAAATCTGGCTATGAGGGGTTAAGTCCATCAAGGCTACAAACCACTAATCGATTTCTACCTTTTATAAATCTTATAATGCTCCTGTAAGGTTTTGACCTCTTTTATTATTACTCATCTTTCCCAAGGCTGAGAAGGCCACTACAGTTGAGGAGGCTACTTTTGTGGTTTTGTAACCAAAAAAGTAGTATCCTCAACTGTAGTGGCCTTCTCTCAACTCTATAACTCCGAAACACAAACCTTGGCGAACAAGGCCACTGCGCAAAGAAACAAGTTGAGTGCAGTATACCAGGCACATGGTGGGGATTGAACTCAGAGCTTCTCGCTTGTGAGGTGAGTACTCTACCACTACACCACTACTGCATGATTTAGCAAGCTATCACTTTGCTAAGGCAACAATGAATTGGTACCAAAAAAAATGGCGCTGAAATTATACCTAAAGATCACAATCTCCTAAATTGTCAACAAATACACCCTATATCAAAATTTTGGGCTATTTATAAATTTAAGTTAAATTAGACTTTATGCTATTTATAAATTTAAATTAGATTAAATTAAGGTAAAGCCAATACAGAGTACAAGTAACTTAAAAAGTGGAGAAAAGTTTTACTTTCCTGAGAAAGTAGATTAAATAATTTAAAATATGTCAAAATATAGACTGAGTACTCTTTACTTTAAAACATAATTATTTTACTGAATTGTTTCATAATAATTTTTATTTTTAATGTAATGAACTATATATTTTATATATTAATTACTTAAATATATTATTCACTTTTATTGTGAAATTTTTAATTGTTGTAATAATAGTTGTAATAATTTTTAAAATGCCTGCGTTCTATTACAATAAGAAAATAAAAAACATTTTTCATAAAGTAAAAACTTTTATAGAATAGCTCCCCATTTTCGTTTCAGGAGAGCATTTCTCTGCTCTTGTGCTTGTTTACTTATTGTTATTGTTGTTATTTTAACTGTAATTGTTAAAGGCCTGATATATATAGTTTTAGTTTTAGACAATCTTAAAATTAAGTAAATTTTTTCATGGCTTTTTTTCACTAAATGTCATTTTTTAGGCATTAAAATCTAAAATAATAATTTTAAAATTTTTTTCTTGAAAAAAAAGTTAAAAAAAATTTTTTAACCTTTTTTTCTTTAATTTAATCTGTTTATATAAATTTAATATTTTGCTATAAACATAAATTTTTATAACTAATTTTGTTATTTATCATATATTTTTTCATTTATTTACAAAAGTTAAAATTCATTAAAAAAAAAAAAAACAATAATTAATAAGTTAACTATAATCCTAACCCAACCTACAATTTCAGTTATGTCTGTACTACTCCTTCTAGTCAGTCAATGCATGTACTTTTTACTTTTCTCAAAAGTTAGAGGCAAACTGATGATGTCATCAATAGATAGCTGCAGAGGCTTCAGAATATACACAGACTATTTGGGCTATGGCAGCTCTCTTCTTTCATTATTTTTTGTTTATTTTGTTTATTTTTTCTGGCAAATTAAAGCGCACATTTTTCTGGCAAATTAAAGCGCAAAAAATATATTAGGAAGTCGTGTTCTTAGGTATGAATTCTTTGCGAATAAAGCATGTGCGGTCGCATGTCTTGTATGGCCACACATAAAATAATATTTTTAGATAACTTGACCACAGCTGTTTGCTTGTTCCAAAAATTCAAGTGTTTCTTTGACAAAAAGTTTCTTTGTAAAGAAAAAACTTTATTTAAAAAACAAAGAAAAAAAAAAGATATTATTTTTTTTTTTAAAAAGTTAAGTCACCTCTTTAAGGCTGAGAAATTGGGTATAACCCTCTTAACTCTATAACTCTGAATCAATTAAACTGGTCACTGCACAGAGAAACAAGTTGAGTGCAGTACTAAGGTAAGTACTGAAAAACTCTCGCTTATGAAGCGAGGGCTCTACCACTACACTAATGCATATGAATTGACAATTTTATTTAATGTGTTATTATTTACTATGTATTTTGTTGGAAAAAATGCATATTTACATAAATAAAAAATTATAGACTACTCTTTGATAATTTTATTAAAATTTGTTCATTATAAACAATCTTCTGAAGTAATTTTTTATCATTTAAAAGTGTTTTGCATATTATATAAGAATCTTTAATTATAAGTTATTTTAAAATATTAATTCATCACAAAAAAACCACACTTTTTAAATAAAAAATAAGCTATATTACATATGAATCGCTAACTTGAAAAAGGGGACATGTTATGTGAATTTTTGCATGTCCCCTTTTTCAACTTAGCTATTCATATAAAATTCTTGGATAATTTAAATAAACATTTTAATAAAAACAAACATTAATCAAAAGTAATTTGTTACTTAATGTTTAAAAGAGTTTTTGCATAAAATAGAAAAAAATCAAAGTTTTGAAGTTATTTATTCCTAACATAAACTATAAATGTTTAAAATAATTTCCTCTTAGACTGAGTTTTTAATTAACTTTTATTTTTATTAATTTAGTATAATAATATAATAGGCTGTAGTAGTTTGAAAACTATGAGAAATTAATTTCACTTTGACAGCATATAAATTGTGTAGTTATTCTAGGTTAATAAATTAAATTATAAATTACAAGTCATATAACTCTAGATATTTACCTATGTGAGTTTTAAATAAATTCAAGCTTTCACTTTTGATAATAAAATCTGGCAGTTTGTCCACATTAATGAGACTATTAGTTAAGAATTGATGACAAATATTTTTAACTATTTCTCAGATGCCTTGCCTGTCCACTCAGTAATATTTGTATGCAAAAAAAAGTTAAATTTATCTAAATTTTATATAGTTATGTTAGCATAGCACTCTAGATATGGCAAAACTCAACATTATAGGTGAGGCTATCAGCTTAATATTTAGTGCGAGTTGAAATAGGAAACTTTTTTTTAGGAACTTTTTGTTTTTTGCTAATTTATTTACTTAGCATAAAAAATAATTATCTTTTAAGTTTTTTAATACCTCTTTAATCTTTTTTAAAGTTGAAATGCTTTTTACATGAAAAAAGACATCATTTTTTCAGGTTAATCTTATTTATTTATTGTTTTTAAATTTTCTCTTTAATTTAGTTTTTTTTTGTGGACATTTTTAGAACACTTAAATTGTCATAACATGAAAATATGTGCATTGAAGTTTTGATTGGTTAGTTTTCTAATTGGTTGCTTTTTTCAGATTTTTTATCCTGTAAATAATATATTTAATAAACCTAACTCTAAATTTAGATTTTTGGACATAGTCTTAAAATAAAAAGACATCATTAGAAGAATCAACTAAAATATGACAACATTAATCCATACAAGGACAAATAAGAGATTAATAGAAGTAGAAAATAGAATCAGAAGAAAATGCACAGTAAAGAGAGTCTTTGCTGATGCAAACTTTGCAACCCATTTAATATATAACAATAACAATAAGTATCGCTGTTGAGATTTCATGCCATGTTAAATCTATGACAACCTTTATTGATAATAATTTAACAATTACTAATTTAGATAATAAATAAATAATAGCTATATGTTTGCTAAAGTTTAGTTATAAGACAACTTAGAAAAAGTATTTTATAACAAATTTTATTTTTTTTAAATTGAAGTTGAAGATGGTTGTGACATTATCTTCAAAGTTAAAATTATCAGGAAAATAATTAATATAGATAAGGAACAATGTAGGAGATCTTAATGTACCCTAAAAATCACTAGAAATAAAAGTGTTGTCAATCATGGAGGTTTTTAATACTGAGTTAAAATGGAATTCAAAAGTTTTAAAAACTTTGAAAAATAGAAGAATAGTCAGATAACAAATTTGCTTTATCAAGAATAGCCTTGTTTTTTTTTGCCTCATCACTTCTAAATGCAACCATAGATGCTATTTTCCAGCTGACAGGAAAACAAAAATTCAGTTAAGCTCTTGTTAAATAGTCAAAAGTTCTAGAAAAAACTTTTTTAAATATTGTATACACCACAAGCTAAAGAAGAGTTCAAGTGACACATGCAACAGAAGTTGGTCTGTTCTGCTGAGTTTTTAAGAAGTAAGGTGTATAAATAAAACATTACTTCAAAGACCATAAATATTTGCAAAAGATAGATTAAATTTTTTTGGTTATGGTGTTGCTTTTTTTTGCTACAATTTTTAAATACTATAGTTGTTTCTTAAATTATCAGAGAGCTTGACTCAACCATAGATAGTACATGGTACCCTAAGCTATAAGCTATACAGTTGTCTCAGTCTTGCTAACCAACTCAAAGAATACACACACACACACAAACACACACACATCTTATAAAACTGTTTTAAAAAAATTTATTTTACAAGGATAATTAATCTATCAATTTATTTTTAAATCTAAGAGATTTAAAAATAATTGTAACCTTAACTAAGATTTTGAGTCTGAGGCAGTCAGTAATCATGTTGACAAAACGCTTTCCAGTGAGAGAAAATCTTTTCTTTAGGTCATTTCAGTAGAAAACAAATAACGTCTTACCATTTATAAAAAATGTTACAAAAGCTTGGTTGAGCGAGCTAATGGAGACGGAACTTGCCAACTCCATAAACCACTGCTTCCCGAAGCAAATATCACGTTTCAGTTACTATGAAGCATAGAATCTTATAACAGGTTTAAAGTTTCACAAATATCCGTGTGAAAGCTATTGGAATAGGTTCAAGAGCATCTATGGCAATTTGCCATATAAAAAACACCTATAATGACTGTGTTTGCCAGTCAAATTTACCTTCCCGGGCTTGTAAAAGGTTTTTCAAATGATGCTCCTCCTGAAACTGCCACAATTTTCATTGGACGACCTTTAAAAAAAAAGAACCAAATAATTAAAATATTAAATTCAATAACTAAAATATTTTTAAATTATTTTAAAAATATTTAATATAAATATTATAATATAAAATATTTTCAAGACATTCGTCTTGTTTTGTTACAAGAAGGTCTTTCTGAAAAAAAAAATTAAATCTTCGTTTCCTATTTATTTAAAAAATTTGTTGTACAAAAACGGTTTATTTGTAAACATAGCACCGAATAGATACAAAATGGATATGTTTGAAAAAAAATATATGCATAAACAAATGTGTTACTAATCATTTTACGTATGAAGATACGTATTATAAAGATTTCATTTTTAATAAATTAATTAACGTAAAAATAAAAACTATAATGTTTAGCGGAAAACAAAACAAAGAATTTCAGGACGGTTTTGAACTTTTAAAATCTGATATAAACATGTACAAAGACCGTCTTGTTTTTGTAAAGAGCGAAAAAAGTAATTTGATAAACAAACAAATGTGTTACGTAGCTTCTCAAATATTATCTTGGGCAAAACTTAACGTTACTCGTTTTGCATGGGAACTGGGCGAAGTATTAAGAAATCATAACGCTGAAAAACATTTGGTAGTTACAGACACGGATTCAGGTTGTTTTTTATAACTAAAAAATGGACAACAAACAAGAAATTTTTCGTTCAAAAAAAGAAGAATAGATTTATTTTCAAATATTGGACAAAAATGGATGGATTATTCCAATTATCCTAAAACACACGAATTTTAATACGACTTTATATGCTAAAGAAAGCGATCACTTTCAAAACGAATTTTCTTCTCCGTTTTATATTGAACAGATTTTTGCTGTGGCTTCTAAATGTTTCAGTGCACATTTTATCAAAAAAACAAAAACTCAAGATAAAGGTCAAGACGAAGGATTACCTAATTACAAATTGTGTTTTACGCATAACATAAACGGGTTTAATACGCAGAGCCGAAAAAATATTTAGAAATTTACCTAAATTTTAAATTTTAAGCAAAAACTAAATAACTAAATAAAATATAAATTACCATCCAGAGGCACCTCATTATAAGTTTTAAGTGCCTTTAAAGCATCTGGCTTTCGCTCAAAAAAGACATCAGCTGTACCATGAGACCTCCCTGACTCATCATAGTTTATTCTCACTTTTTTCAAATTTCCGAATTCACTGAAAAGCTCCTATGTGTAAAAATTATTACATTAGAAGAACATTAATTTTACCTATCTTTATTACCTATGTACAGAGAATTAACATATGCAAAATAATATGTAAAACTATTTATTTAAATAAATTCTCTTAATTATTGTTTCTTTAAAATTATTTATATTTGAAATAATGATTAGATTAAAAACATAATCTTATTTTTTCAATAAATTTTAAATATAAACAGAAAAATTATTATTATTATTATATATATATATATATATATATATATATATATATATATATATATATATATATATATAATAACAAAAATAGGTTTGAAAATCATCAAAAATCTATATATTATTTTGATGAAGATAATTAAAAAAAAAAAAAAAGGAGAAATTAAGGAGAGCAGTCAAATTTTAACTTTTTTTTAAGGTTATTTAAGGACAATTAAGGAGTTTTTTTATTTTTTAGGGATATTTAAGGTTTTTAAGGAGGTGTGGGAACCCTGATATATATATATATATATATATATATATATATATATATATATATATATATATATATATATATATATATATATAAAAATCCTCCAGACAAAAAAAAATGAGACCAAGTTTTTTAAGCTTTATTTTCAAAATGTTAAATGAATAATAAAATTGTTTAATAGAAAATAAAGAGTTAAGCTTAATTGATCAATATCTGGTCACATATCATTAGACTTCTATGCATTTTTGAACACGACAGTTCATACAGTCAATTAATGACTTCAAATAATCCAAGGAAAGCCCGTTTCAAACTACTTGAATTGCAACCTCTAAATCATCTAAATTTTTTGTTTTTTTATTTTTCCACTGCTTTTTTCACTAAACCCCCGACATTTTAAATGAGGTTAAGATACGGTAAGTTGATGGGCCAAGAAGAAACTTTCCATTTATGTTCTGTAAACCACTCAGAAACTGATTTTGAGGTGTGGCATGTTGCCCTATTTTGTTGAAATGTAAAACTACTCGGGAAAAGATTTTTTTAGAGTTGGCTCAGCTTCAGAAAGTATTTATTTTTTATTTTTCACTATTCACAATGCCCTTCATTATAGGCACCGATGTTTTACCTTTGGAACTAATCGCCCCCCAAACCTTGAGACTCAGTTTGAAGTCTAGTTTGCCAATTCTTGGTCATTTATTTGCCCATCGACCTTCTTAGGTTCAAAATAACATGAAACAACTCTTGTCACTGAATACTAGAGATGTAAGTCGTTTTTTTGGTTCTTGTTTATTTGCCTAAAAAAAAAAACGTTTTTTTTGGCCAAAAAAACCGAAGATTTCTTATTTTGGTTTTTTTGCGTTTTTGCCTTAAAAACTACTCTTTTTGCATTTTAAACACTGAAATGGTTTTAAAATTTATTTTTGGTGATATTTATTAAATACTTGTTTTAATACTTCCATTTACCATATTTTTAGTATTGTCTTAGTTTAGCAATTGTTCAATTATTCAAAAAAAAAATTTTAAAAAGCAGCATTAATTAGAAAAACAATTTTTTTTTTAAAATAATTTTTAATAATAATTCTTATAAGTAAAGACAAAGAAGTAAATTTTTATAAGTAAAGGCCATGAATTGCATCTTTTTTAATATTGAACTGTTTTAAGAATTTATTATGTGAATGAAGTAACACTGCATCGCAAAATAAGCCAGATCTGGGAATTTTTGGTGTGGGTGTGAGGGGGAATCGCGGCTTGTTAAAAATTTAGTTTATTTTGTATCACATTTTTGCCTACTAAAAAAAAATTTAAAAAATTTTTAATATATCAAAGTATATATATATATATATATATATATATATATATATATATATATATATATATATATATAAAGTATATATATATATTAGATCAAATATATATATATTTAAAATATCAAAGATATTTTATAAATTTATGGATTCTGGTGCAGGGTGGTAGGTTCATGCCTCTCATTTCCCCTATATCTGTCACTGGTTTTAAAATAACAAAATTATATTTCAACTTTTTCAACTTCTTCAACTTACGTTCATTAAATTTTTCATTAATCCATAATTTTTTTTTGAATAATAATAAATGTATTATTTAATGGAATGAATCAGAATTATCTAAATAAATATTTTTATTATATGAAAGAAATATATTTATTATATGAAACACTGCTTTTCAAAATAAAAAAAGGTAATCATTTTCATGTTTAATATAAGGAAAATGAATAATTTTTTTGAGGTAAAAATCTTGAAATTTTATTAAAAAATAAATAACTGTTTAGCCATTTTCCTAATCAAAAAGATAAATATTTTTATACCACTTTGGCTAAACACTCTGTTTACACAAAATAAGTAAACAAATATACCATAAGAGTTTAAAAGAATCCAAAAAAACCTACACCCAAACCAAAAAAACGCCAAAAAAACGTTTTTTTGGGTGAAAAAAATGCGACAGCAAAAAAACACGTTTTTTTTGCAACACTACTGAATACCCATTAATTCAATCTTGTTCTTAGGTGTTATTCACACCAATTTTACCCTATTTTCTTGTTAAACAGGAACCAGGAATACACACACACATATACAGTGGCTAATCTATACTGTTTTTGAAAAAGATATTGATATATAAATTATATATATATATATATATATATATATATATATATATATATATATATATATATATATATATATATATATGTACAACTTATTATTTATAATATACATTTATAATATAACATCTATAATATAAAACTTTTTTCATTAAAAAAGTTTTATATATAATTATATTAATTACATATAAATATATATATAATTTATTATTTATGATATATATTTATAATATAACATCTATAATATAAAACCAAGTTTTTTCTTAAAAAAAAGATAACTAATAAAAAAAAATTAATTTATTATACATATTCAATTGATTATATATCTTAGCCTAGAGGTTAACGACACTAATGAAATAATGAAATAGTATCCATCATGAAAAATATACACATTAACTTTACTTAGATTCAATTTTAGATTCAATTTTAAAAACAAAATAAGTAAAACTTACTTTAATATCTGATTCAGTCACGCCAAAATCGAGATTTGATATTTGTAAATGTGTACCTGTTACAAGACCATCAGAAGAGCCAATGTTTGATCGTCCACGAGAAGATGAACCATCAAACATATCATGCTCCCAACGCTCAGGAATAGATTTTGGCTAGAAAATTTTAATAGAAAAACTTAAAATGATTTGATTACATTAAAATTTTAATTACATTTATATTCTTTTATATTTAATAAAATTCTTAAATTAAATTTTAAACAGACCTTATATTTAAAAACTTTTTAACTATAAAAATTACTAGATTTTTAATTAACTAAAATTGTACCAGAATAATATTTAGAATACAGAAAGAAAATAATGAATAGGCATACAAAATAAAATAGTGCTAAAAACATGAATGATCTTAAATTTAATTGAAATATAACACTAAATTAAGAAGCTACTTTTCATTTTACTAAAGTACCACTAGATTAGTGAGATATTAGAAGAATAAAAACTTTAAATGTTTAATTATTGATGATCTAAAATAAATGAACTATATTTTTAGAAAGCAATAAAATTACAGTTATAAATATTTTAATATATTTGGAAAAAAAAAGCAACATATATGAATAAATATGTATGTAAAACAAGTTGTTCTTCTTGACTTAGTCATACTATGAGAACGTAAACCATCCAGCATATAGAATAAACATATATACTTATACTCTTGAACAAGCCATGTAATGTTAGTTTTATCGACTATGTTTTTTATTTCGATGAATGAAATGATAAAACCAACCTGTCACAACTTTTCTATTTAAATAATTAAAATTTCCGACATTTACAGTTTTTAATTTACGACATTTACTAGTTTATAAGATGATTCATAAAAAATTGCTGATAAAACTGTTACTAAAACACTTACTCGTCTGTATGGAATTGTTCTTTCACGTCCTCCGCGAGTATTCCTTATAGGACCTCCAGCTCCACCGCGACGACTTGTTCCACCACGACCAGATCCTGCTCCTCGTCCTCTGCTTCTTCCACCTCTAGATTTTTTATTTGAAGCTATTATTTCATCCAAAGATAAATCTACTTTATCAGCCACCATTTTGGAATTTATAATTTTCTACTTAAAAAAAAAAAAAAGATGTCAGAAAGCTTTCAACGTGATAGCAGCGTATGGTGTGCTCCGCAAACTTGCCAAGCATAAAAGAAAAACAATTTGTAAACTAGGCTGCTTAAAATTTTTCGTTTTAAGAAAAATTTAAACTTATTATAATGTATAGAAGTAAATTAAACTTTATTATTTAAATATAAAGTGATAATTCTACCTATATTTTTACAGTGTTAAGCAAAGCCTTTTAAGTAAAGTATGAAGAAAATGAAAGAAAAAAAATTAACCGCCTAAATAAAAACTTTCAAGGCTAGCTTGAAATAGAAAGAAAAATTGCGCGCATGCGCAACTTGCAAATTTGTAGCTAAAATGGCACATTTGCTAACGTTTTATGGCTTTACGCATTTCTCTTTAGAATTATTTTATTTCTAAGACTAAGTTGAATTCAAAAGACAGCTAATAAACTTTTTTTAAATATATTATGATCTAATTAAATTTGCTAGTTATTAGTTAATTAGATTATAACAGGGCCGGACCAGGAGTTTTTGGTGGAGAAGGTAGGTAGGTAGAGGGGTAGAGGAAGAATGTTGAAATATTTTTGCATCTCCTAAAAAAAAAAGAAAAGGTCCTCTATTTCTAAGAGGTTGTATGAAGTTAAAAAATTTATCGATAAACATTTTTTTTTTGCAATATGCACACATGTGTGTGTGTGTTGTATGTGTGTGCATATATATATATATATATATATATATATATATATATATATATATATATATATATATATATATATATATATATATATATATATATATATATATATATATCGCGAGGTTAGAATTATTTTGTTCTATCTCCACATTTTTTTGTTTCGAGATAAAACGATTTAAAAAAAAAAAACTTTAGGAGACGGCATATAAAAAGATTTTTATTACTTATGTTTTCTCCGAAACTTTTTTGATTTTAACTTAGGTTTTAATGTAGTAGAAAAACATTATTTTGAGGTACATTACACAATTAATAACTCATTTTTTTCAAAAAGTGGAGATAGAACAAAATAATTCTAACCTCGCGATATATATATATATATATATATATATATATATATATATATATATATATATATATATATATATATATATATATATATACACATATATATATATATATAACAATAATATATATATATATATATATATATATATATATATATATATATATATATATATATATATATATATATATACATATATATATATATATATATATATATATATATATATATATATATATATATATATATATATATATATATATATATATATATATATATATATATATATACAGGCGCGGATCCAGCATTTTTTGATGTTTGAGATAACTAACTTCCAGACATGGTACAAACCCCAAAAATTTATATGTTTATACTTATGTCAAATAAAGATCATTTGCAAAAAATTGCGATGATTGGAGTCTGGGAACAAAAAAAACCCAAAATTTTAGCCACACAAACCCCAAACAAGAGAGCAACAAGTTGATAAAATATTTTTTGTACAATTCTCAAGTAAATTTATATTCATCGATAAATTCTAAATTTCATACAATAATCTCTTAGTGTTCAAAAATTATAATTGCACAAAGCTTTAACCCCCCTCAATTTGAGGGGGTTACAAATGGAAGGGGGTTACAAATTTTGTAAGGTCATGTTTTTTGAACATTTTCAGAACAAAAAGCCTTACTTGCTTTTTGTTCTGAAAATGCAGCAATTATATTTGAAAAATCCAGTTTTTGTGCAATATCGAAATTTATATTCAGCATAGCAAGTCCATTCAACAGTTCTTACATAGAAATCCAAAAAGTTTACAAATTTCTTGTAACGACTGAAATCGTTGCGTGAGGCCAGACTGAATCGCTTCAATAGTGACAAAATATACATTGATTTTAAAATACAGCTCGGCATCATCTTGACTTGGGAAATAACGATTAGTTAAAAACTCACAGGAAACATTAATATTTCTTGCAACAAATTTTGACTCAGTTAAAATCTAATCAAATTGTTCACGCAACCTTTGAATGTCAATACATAGATTTTCAATGTTATTCTTTTGTGAGTAGCTTCACCCTGATAGACGACATCAAAATGCAGTCAAATTTGGAAATATACTTTTGAATAGTGATGGTTTAAAATCATCAATCCGTGCTGACCATCTTGTTTTGGACATTTAATGCAATGAAACAGGAAGATGTTGTTTTAGAATTTCCCACCTTTGATGACTGCTACTGAATAAATTGTATATTTGCTGAATTGTTCCGAAATACATTACTGCTTCTTTGCATGATTCAGCGCAATCGAAACCAACTAAATTTAAAGTATGACTCTCGCAGCTAGAAAACATACAGTTTGGATTTTGTTCTATCAAAACCACTTGCACCCCGTTATACTTTCCAGCCATGTTAGCACCGTTGTCTTAAGATGACGAATGCAGGTTTCGAAATCCAGCTTCAAAGTTTTGAGTATTTCTAGATTTTGAGCAACAATTTCTCTTCCAGTTTTTTTTTGAAAAATTTTCAAATAAAATAAATTTTTCTTCAACTGAAAAGTTTAAATTATCTAAAATTTTAATAAAACGAATAACTAGAGTAGTTTGCTTTTTGTACGAGGAACCTGGAGTAGCATCAACTATAATTAAAAAATATTTTGCTTTCAAAATTTTATGGAGGATTGCTGTTTGAACATGTGAACCATAAATATCAATAAATTCGTTCTGAATTCGGGTTGAAAGATAATGAGCTTGCATTCGCTGCTTACACTGTTGTGATTCTCGAGCACGTTTAACATGCTCAGGTAAAAGTGGGTCATATTTGCTAAGAAGTTCAATAATATCTAAAAAAATTTCATTCGCTCGATCACCTATTTGTTGATTTGAACCAAAAAGTGCCAATCCACGTTTAGAAAAAAAAAGAATAACATCTAGAATACGTTGGAATAATTTTTTCTAATTTTCAGTTTCAATCTTGAGTTCAAATAAAAGAAAATTATCCACTGAAGTTTCACATAATGCTGTTCTACTAGCAGATTTCGATACTACATAGTTTTCTTTATAATAAATTACGACGGTATACGATCACGGGATTTTATGGGATATGATATAAGGTCTTAGGTCACCTTTAGGGTGATCTATAAAATTTCATCATACCCCATAAAATGTGTTCTTTGACTACTTTTCAAAATCTTTTGATTTTGAAAGTAGTCAAAGAACACATTCTAAAACTATCAAAAGTTAAATTATTTTTTGGTAGCTTTTTGAGAAAACTAATTTATAAGACTAGTTTTAACCAGAGGTTAATGCCTCTCTGACTCACTCTAAGACCTATTGGATTGAGTCTTTGAGGATCGTATTTGGAAATAACTTCTGATAACAATGTGGGCTTTCTAGTTAGAACATCGGCTAAGTACACTAGTGTTCACAAAACTAAAGTTTTGTGAACACTTGTGTACTTAAAATCTTTACATCCATACTCATCAGAATATTTAACTCTTTGTTTTTTAACTTGAATCTGTTTCTAGCTCTGGCTTTAATGCAATTGATAAGGTAATCTTTAGATAACCTTGCCCTCCATCTACCCCAACCTTAACATCAATATTCTCTGGTTCAAGAGATCTATCTCCAATAGAAACAACGAGCCTCTTAGTGCCAAAAATTTTAAAACGTTATTTTTGCGTCATGGGTTACTAAATTGTTAATAATAGTTGATAAAACTTTTTTTTTGTTATAGGTGAGGTGGATTGTACTATGCATCAAATTATTTTGATTAGCTAATTTTTTGCAAGGATGTTTAACACCTTTTCTTATTTGTTGAAAACGACTTCTGCAAAGAACAAAATTTGGATTGGTTGTGGAAAGATTTAAATAAGTGATTATGATCTATATCCGTACTAGTTTTACATGATACCATTGGTGGAAGAATTGCTATTTCAGTACCATTTTTACACTCATTAACACAAATAAAACACTCACCTTTCCCACATAGAATAATTTTAGTATTAAAATCTTAAAGTAATAAGAAGTTATTTTTTTAGTGCAAATACAATATTGTTTATAAGCACAACAATAATAATGTAAAACATAATTAGTTTTTATTGGCTAATTTTTTATTTATAAAACTTACTTTTGTACTTAGGTCGAGCGTTGAATAAAAGTCATTTTTGAATCTTTTTTTTTTAAAAACTCACTAGATTTTTTCTGCAATAAGAGCATAATAGATCATAGTTTTTAAAAGAGTAGTTTTCCCAAAAAAAATCACTTAATAAGATTTTCATTATTTATTTCTTGTTTTGGACCTGATTTATTGCATTTGGTTTGAATGCATCTTAAATCAATAATTTTTTTTATACACCATATGCAAAATTTTATACAGCATATGCAAGAGCATTTTAAAAACTCGTATTGATCTTTAGCAAAGTATGACATTTCTATTCTGTTCTCGAGAAATGGTTCCTATATTTTTCAATCGGCTCTTAAATTTAAGTTAATATAAATTTTTATTAAAATAATTAAATAAACTCGCTGTTATTGCTTAAATGTTATTAAAGTCTTTTAAAACAAATAAATACTGTTTAAGTCTTTTAAAACAACTATAAGACAAATAAGTATTATTATAGCCAATCGCGCTATTGCAATTACAGAATGTAAACAACAATAATGGCTGACGGAAAAATATTACTTTAATACGAAAACATTGTTATTTATAAAACTTCTAAATAGGTTTTCTCAAAAAGCTACCAAAAAATGATTCAAATTTTGATAGTTTTAGAATGTACAAATGTACTATATTCAAAATCAAAAAAATTTTGACTTGAAGGTCTTTGGTCACCTTCAGGGTACCTGAGCGATCTTTTAATCTTATCCAACCTCTACTAATGCCCTATTCAGCATAATTAGGGAAAAATGACACATTTGCAGCATTTTTGTTCAAAAAAAAACAAGGTGCACAATACAAAGATTGTTTTTCAATACTCCAGCACAACCAGTCTGGAGTATTGAAAAACAATCTTTGTATTGTGTTTCAATACTCCAGACTGGTTGTGCTGGAGTATTGCTTGTTTCTCCATTTGCAAGAGTTTTGTTTAGCAAAGGAAAAGGAAATGCATGATGATTAGAGTCTTGAACGATATTATTTGGAATTTCAAAGCAAGTAATCTTAAGAAAAGAGTTCACTTAACTAGAATTGTTCTCGTTGATAATCCCAATGTCAATAATATTGACCGGATTACCTTGATGAGTCTGATCTGTTGTCT